AAATTAGTGGCCATTACTAGTGATGACATGGTCCATGGTGCAATTCAATCGGACGGTTGCATGGCAATATGGATATATATTCCACACTCACTATGCTAGTAGGTCAGTACTGGTCTTTTAAGGGAAGAAAATGTCCTTAAACTTGGATCAAGCAATATAATTTATAATGTCTAAAAATATCATATTCTGAATTGTAATTTTAATTTTTTCTAACATGTGCATAATTTGAAAAGGACAGCTCCTGTCTTATCTTTTTGTAATAGGGGGACACCTGTCTCAACCTCCAGGTCTCAGGCAGAGTCAGCCCGACTACAGGCTTTTCATAGAGTAGATTGTTGCTTGCACTTGAATAAATTTGTCCATTAAATTTTATAGTGGGTGATTTGTGCCACATGAAAACAGACAAAGTACAAAAAGTAACCGGGCGCCAGATGAAAACATAAATATACCAGAAAGTGGTTCGTTTTTTTTTTTTCGTGTTTTCGCTCGGTGCCCCCTGATGCAAAATACAAAATGGAACAAATCAGCTTCACGCAGGGTTTAATGGTGACCGCAAAGGCAACCCCTTTAACAGGGAGCGCAAATTAGACGTCAAGCCTGCCTTTTTTGCCTCATTGACCCGCCAGAGAACAGATGCGGAGGTTGCAATTCAGTAAATGGTGCTTTAGTTTTTAGCAGTATGAAGCGCATGTCCCAACAAAAACAAATAAATTCGTGAATATATAACAGACACAAATGCATTTAAATAGCAAATCAGTTAAAAACGCATAGTTTTAAGCATGCGTACATATCAGTATCACGAGTATGATTATCGAGTGCGTGTACATGTCAGTAGTAACTAGCATTAAACGTACGTAAATATTTGTATTAAATGTACATCTTTGAATCATATCTATATATGTAAGAATCACATGACAATACATTCTACACAAGTAACATATTACTTTCAAGAATCGCCCGTATGGAGACAAATTTCTTTATAATAAAAGACAAGCAAAGATTCCTATCAATAATTCTGTTAAGGAAACAATCTTTAAGTTCAATTCCATGATCACCAAGGTATGAAAACATCTGCAATGTCTTTTTAATTTTAAATTTTAACATGTTTTAAAGTATACCGCTAGTGTATTGGCGCAGTTTCATTTACCCCTAGCCCATTTAATTTTAAAGCGAATGATAGTGTGAAAGCAACACATATTAATGTATTGACAGTAAATGGAAAAGTCACTTTAACTGATTATCTGTTAGCAAATAGAAGGTCATGAGAACTGGATATCGCTAGAAATAATACTAGCATTATTCATCATTTTGAATACGTTTTTCACTTCGTTTTATTCACTTGTATCTCTTGATAAAAACCTTTTTGTTATCCTACATTTTTCTGTTAACGTTAACATCCATTATTGCAGGGTCTGTAACGTTTAAAAAAGACACGATTAACGTTCCTAGAATAAGAAATAATATCGGTCTTAGCGGTGTTCATCGGCTATTTAACACCTGTTTCGTAGGAATTGATCACGAAGACCGTAGGCCTGAGTGGTTAATTTTTTCACATCAAAACGACTTGTCAAACTTTAAAGGTGTCAGCTGAAAATGTCAATGCCACATGTCCCTTTAAGAGCAAGTATCGAATTATGATTCCAACTTTAAACTTTTCTAAAACTAGAAATGTGTCCATAGGACACCGCGCCACTGTTCTGTCAATCTTATGACTCTAGGTCAAATATTTTTTGAAAACTAAAAATCGTTTACTAAGTAAAGGGCAAGAACTTTACAAATACTGAATAAATCCACAAGCAAACCCCAAGGTGCATAAGTACACATGCTGACCAACATTCTTGTAAACTTTCAGGCCTACAAGTGAAATACTTTTTCAGCTATGCATGAACAAGTTGAAAATTGCAATAAACTACTGTAAGTCAAGGGCAATAACTCTAACATAACTGAAAAAATCCACATGCAAAGTCCCAGGTGCATAGCTTCACAGTGATGTGAATCATTATTCCTGTAATTTAGTGACGTTGATCATTATTCCTGTAAAGTTGGTTGATTCTAACTCATGCACTCAAGGAACAAATAACAACATAATAAAACGGTTTTTACGAAGTCAAGGGAAATAACTCTACAAATACTGGATAAATCCACGAGCGAAACCCCAGGTGCAAAACTTAATATGCTAAGCAACCTTCCCGTAAGGTTTAATGACTCTATGTCAAATCCTTTTTTAGTTACATGCGACACAAGTTGAAAATTGCAAAAATTTTCTAAGTCAAGGGCAATAACTCTAAAAATAGTAAATATATCCAGACAAAATACCCAGGAGCACAACTACACATGCTGATCAACATTCCTGTAAAGTTTCATGACCCTAGGTCAAATACTTTTTTAGTTACATGCGACACAAGTTGAAAATTGCAAAATTTTATTAAGTCAAGGGCAATAACTCTAAAAATACTAAATATATCTAGACGAAAGTACCCAGGTGCACAACTACACATGCTGATCAACATTCCTGTAAAGTTTCATGACTCTAGGTCAAATACGTTTTAAGTTACGTGCAACACAAAAGAGAACAGGCGGACGGATGGACGTCCGGACGGACAGACAAGGGTAAATCTAAATGCCTGCCACTAAAGTGGGGGCACAATTATACGGCTAATTGGTTATCACTTTAATGTAGTTTATAACTTATTATCATTGATACTTTGAAATATATCTATAGAGCAAACCGAAAAAGTATACATATCAATAATTATCATATTTTTTTTGTATTTTCTGATCGCAGATCAGGTAATACAATGCTGACATTCAATCTATGGCACAACACTTCAACAAGTAGTTCTCAAAACAGTTTAAAGCAAGCGATGTAAAAGAAAGAAATATTTTTATTTTGCTACAAGTATCCAACAAATTACAACGCAAAGTAGCTTTGGCTTAAAGAATTGTCAATAAATGCACAATCACAAATTACGAGGATGAATATCATTTTAATCAATGAAAGTCACTCGGCTATTTCCGTAAAACTTCGGATAACTGTGATCGGAATTAAACGCCCCCCCCTAAATGAACATTTGTTATAAAGACTTTCTGAAAAATAAAGAAAGGAAGTTGACTCTAGGACAGGGACGATTTCGGGAAGTCGACTATCGAAAATCAATTAACGGTCGTATAAGTTAAGCACCCGATGATTTAATCCACGTAAACAACATGCTATTTTTAGCGATGTCGATTACCGAAGACCTCCGCGAATTACACAAATAAATCTGACTGTCGAGTAGTTAAATATTACATGTCGGACTGTTTGGGCCAGAAGATTTTTGCTAAATTATTGTTCCGCGCCCACAGAGCTATTTGTGTTTACTTTTTTCGTCCATGGGCCCGATTTATATCAATTAATCCCTCGATTTACTGTAAAAAAAAATCGGAGACAAGAACTCCTTCCAATTTCTTTTATGTTGAGTCATATATTGGTTTCCCCTTCGGTGATTCGCATCATGTCATATTAATGAATGAGAACGGACACAAAATTGTACATGAATTAGAAAGCTATAAGAGGTCCGGGGTTCAAATCCCAGTCGAGGCAACTATTTTTTAAATATTTTTAAGTGTCATTTTAGCGATTTAAACATTCTTTCTTAAGGTGGAACATTGGTTATGCATCTCCTCCTCTTTTAATAGTTTAAATAGGCTAGAATCACTTGTCAACTTCATTGAAATTGAGGGGCGTGGGTTAAAACAGCAGAAGGGTCAACATTTTTTATTTCCTTTTTTTCTCTTTAACATTATTTGGATATCCCTCAGATCCCTTATGGAAGAAAAAAATGTTTGATTTTAATTATATGATTATTGTAAGTAATTGTTTGCTAAATAATGCCAAACCTTATAGCAATATGATACCAGATATTTTCAAAGTTTAATGAAATAAAAACTACACGGTAAAAGTATTTTATATTTCGTATGATCAACCAATATACTGTTCAGAAAATTTAAGTCAACTTTTAAAACAGCCCCTCATTGTGCTAAATTTTAGGGATATTTTGAATAAGGCTTTTTATATAGTGAAATGGTCAAATAAGTGTTTAAAGTGGGTGTGGGTAGGGTAACATTTTTATACATATGAAAAATATTTTGTTTAGAAACAATCATTTTGCTCGTGTAATTTGTTGCCTGAATGTCATTATTTGTTTCTTAACAATGAGCAATAGGAAAACATTTTTCATAATGATGATATTATAGATTATTTGGAGTTTCCTCATTTCTGAAACAAAGCCCTTCTAACAGCAAAGTTTTAGTTCAGAAATGTATCCATAACTCATAAACCAAAATGTAAATTTTATTTAAATTTTGCATACAGATGACCTTTATAACACATAACTGTCCTATGATGTCAATTTTACAGTTCCTTATAGTGCCCATTACCCATGGTCAACCTTAAGGAATAAGCCACGATATAAGCAAGGTTAAAGTGTGGCTGTCAAAAACCAAACAAACAAAATGAACATTGAACAAAAATGATTTCACGATGCAAGTAGAAGTTTTGGTTACCCAAAATTCCGTATTTATCAAACTCAAACTGTTATAGTAAAAATCTAAACGCAGTCGCTCAACTCGGTGCCCTGCAAGATGAATTATAGTATATCAAAATAAACTTATACAGGAAAATGCATACAGATATACAGTACGATTTAGATTGCAAAGACCAGAAAATACAACAGAGCTTGCAGTCCTTTGATTCAATATTTGTACTTCACACAATTCGTGTCATTTTAACTTCCGCGTTTCCAATATTATTGTAGCAACGCACTGTAAACATACGAAAGATAACAGAGGGGTAGTATGATACCAGATACATATTGCTATATGAAAAGTTTATATAAATCAGTTTTAAAACTTGTATTTTTGTATTGAAATAAAAAATCGGATTGATACAGTTTTGTTAAATAGTGAGTTGAAAATATAGAGTAACTTGAATTAAAGAATAGAGAATCATTGTTAAAAAAATGGCGGACGGTGGAAAGGACGATGAAGTTCCTGGACGTGTCGAGTACATTTTGTGTAAAGAAATTATGTGTCAACCATGTTTAAGTAAGGATAAGAAAAATGTGGCTGACAAGTTTTGTTCAACGTGTAATGAATTTCAGTGTTTTGATTGTTCAGGTGTGCATAACGTGCTTGACATCTTTATAAGTCATAAATTGTTAAACGCAAATGTAGCTCATGTAATCAGATGTGATCAACATAAAAAGGTTTTAGATTTTTTCTGTGAAGATGAAAAGAAGCTATGTTGCAGTACTTGCGCCATTGTTGATCATAACAAATGTCACAAAGTTGTTGAGGTTGAGAAAATTGCCAGGAAAGTGACGTCACCGAGTTCTAGTTTAGAAGAGATATTGCAGGAAGCCAGAGAAAAAGCTGAAGATATTAAAAGACATATTATCACTTCAAAATATCAACTTGTTCAAGACGTTGAAGAAATACAAGCAAAAATTAGGGAAATGCGAGAAGAAGTAGTAAGAATGTTTGACGAATTGGAAGTTAACATTGTTTAAAAGAGCTAAATCTTTTCAGAAAGAAACATTAGTAACCTTGAAAAGAAGCAATCAACAAATCAAAGAAACATTTGGCTTATGTTACAGGCTATCTAGAAAGA